CAATGACCGGCGACCGATCTGCCTCATCCGGGAAGAGCACAATGATCATAATACCAACATGGGCCAGTGAAGCGACGTCCTCCAAAACTAGACTGAAGAACAAAACAGCAATTTGTCTACCTGTCTGTTCCCCTTCCCCGATTCTCCAATGCCGTTATCCTCCCCCAATTCCCCAATAAAATCTTAAAAAAAAAAAAAAAGAAACACAACAGTAGAAAATAATAGAAGGAAATAATCCTCCATGTTCCTGCCACATAGAATCAAGCATGGTGTATTCTTTATGACCATCTATGGGAGATATTTTAGTTTATGGACATTAAATTCAGTAATTCATTGTTGTTTCCATATTGCATTGGCTGCTTGGAAGCTCACAGCTAAATTTGTGCCTGCCCTTAAAAAATGTATAGAACTCTTATGTTTTTTAAGGGGGTACTCATCACAAATCCTTTAATTTTTAGTAGGTGACAAAAACTTAAATGAGTTAAGATATTTATTGGTTCTTGTAACTGGGAAATACAGGGGCACAGATGACTTCAGTTGTGGTTGAATCAGGAGGCCTTTGAGCTTTATTTCACTCTTTGAGTTCTGATTATCTGTTTGGCTTTATCTGTCTGTGCCCAGATCCAAGGGCTCCCCCAATGTTACGAGGGCTCTGGCTCCATCTTTTCTTGATTCAGTTACTCTTTACTGCCCTCCTATAGAATTGCTCTCTTTGTGTGGCAGGAAACATGGCTTCCAAGAGCCACACGTTCATATTTTCTTTCTTCCAGAAACCACAGCAAAGAGAACTGTTTCTCTCCCAACATCAGTATTTGATTTCAAGGAAAACCCTGATTGGCTTAATTTCACATGTCCACCCCATGATTCTACAGTATTATACTATTATAGACACTTCACTAGAGCTACATGGACTCAAGAAAGATTTCTCAGGCAAAAGGTGACTGTTATTTGCAGAAGAGGAATTGGAAAATGTTTTGAGCAGATTTTGAAAAATAGTAGTTACATGGACTATTCTCACAGTATAGTTAATAAAAATTAACTCAAAATGAAACAAACTAAACATAAGAGGTAAAACTATGTAAGAAGAGATAGACAATGGTTTCTTAAATGTGGCACCAAAAGCACAAGCAACAGAAGAAAAAAATATAATAGATAAATTAAACTTCATCAAATTTAAAAACTTTTGTGCATCAAATACATTGTCAAGAGAGTGAAACAAAACTCACAGAATGAGAGAAAGTATTTATAAAGGATGTTGTATCCAAAATAGATAAAAGAACTCTTACAACTCAACAACAAAAGGATAACCCAAATTAAAAGTGGGCAAAGTATTTAAATAGACGTTTCTCCAGAGAAGATACACAAATGAGCAAAAACCACATGAGAAGATGTTCAGCATTATTACTCATTAAGGAAATACAAACCCAAACCACAATGAGATACCACTTCACACTCACTAAGATGCCATACTAAAGAAATGGAAAATCACAAGTGTTTATGAGGATGTGGTGAAATTGGAACCCCTATACACTGCTGGTGGGAATGTAAAATGGTGTAGTCACTGTGGGAAATAATTTGGTGGTTTCTCAAAATGTTAAACATAGAATTACCTATGACCCGGCAATGCCCCTTGTAGGTATATCTCCCCTCAATTGAAAACGTGTTCAAACGAAAATGTGAATGAATGTTCATTACAGCTCTATTCACAGTAGCCAAAAGGTGGAAACAACCAAAGTGTCCAACAAATGAATGGATGAACAAATGTGACATGTCCATACAATATTATTTAGCTATAAAAAGGAATGAAATACTGATACATGCTCCAGCATGGTTGAATGTTGAAAACATGCTAAGAGAAAGATGCTAGACATAAAAGGATACATATTGTATGAATCTGTTGATAACCAGGTATTTGAAATAGGCAAATTCATAGAGACAGAAAGCAGAGTAGTGGTTTCCAGGGTCTTGGGGACAGGGTAGAATGGAGAGTGAATACTTAATGGTATGGGGTTTCCTTTGAGCTGATGAAAAGTTCTGGAACTGGATAGGGGTGTTGGTTGTACAACATTGTAGATGCATTTAATGCCACTGAATTGTTCACTTAAAAATGATTACAGTAGTAAATTGTATATACGAGGTCTGACAAATAAGTGCGAACTTGTTGCGCTAACCTTTTTTTGATATCAGAGATTATTCATTATGAATTTGTACCAACTGGACAGA